TTATTAGCTTGTAAAAGTTTTCTTTGTGCTCTTAGTTGACTGAGAGTGTTTTATTCCTTCCTGGATGGATGTTGGCTTTGGCCAAATGATTTTCTACATTGTTTGCAGTGATCATGTGGGTTTCCTTCAGCAGCTCATTGGTATTATGGATTTCACTGATGTTTGCACATTGAATGAGCCTTGTATTCCTGGGGTAAATCTCACTTACGTACAGGGTATTACTCTTTACATGCCAGGGTAGCTTGGCAATGTCTGTTTGTAACTCTGTTCAAAGGAGACATTTATCTGTCATTTTCTTTTCTTGTTATATCTAATCTGGTGTTTGTATCACAGTAATATTGCCCTCATAAGATAAATTGGAAAGTATTCTCTTCTATTTTCTGGAAAAGATTGTGTAGAATTAGTGTTATTTACTCTTTAAATGGTAGAATTTGCCATTGAAGCTACCTGGACTTGGAACTTTCCTTTCTGAAAGATATTTAACTATGGATTTAGATTTTAAAGATAGATATTGGACTAGTAATCATTTTTAAACCTAAAACGTAGTGAAAACTTGTTATAGTGCCCAACACAGAACCCAGCACTGGGATTTATATCACTTAATCCTCTTGACAACATTTGGGGTTAATAATATTAACCCACCACTGAGGATTAAGATGCTTCATACTTTGTCTAAGATCACAAAGCTCGTAAGCGGCAGAACTGGGATTCAAAGAGAGCTGTATGACTCCAGAGAATATATTCAGTGATCAACTTTGTGATCTCCCCTCTGTAAACCACCAGCTATAACAAGGAGAATGGCAAATACACACTGAAATTACACCTGCAATGAGCTCAAGAGGCAGCTATGGCCTGAGATGGCAACGCATCCGGGAGAGCGGCTTAGCACAGTGAGGTGGGTAAAGACCAGGGAGGAGCCCCAGAAAGGGTGCCTGCTCTTCTGACGCCAGTCACATGTGACAAAGCAGAACCTTCTAGATTGGGTGGGACATCACTGTGGACCGAATCAGGAACACTGTGATATCAGAGATAGGGTGCAAAGCTGGCTGCAGAAATGAGCAGACCTGTCAATTACAAGATCCCAGGCCAACAGAAGGACCCTATATGTAGGACTTCTTGTGAGCTGTGGATGGCATAAAAAAGAACAGCCTTCTCAGGAAACTGCTATTGTGCGAAATTTTGCAGGGTAACCTGTAGGCATGTATTTTTAATTTTGCTTTTACCCTCTTTTTCTCTTTATTCAGCCCAAGTTTGCTCTGCAGAGCTGATTTCTCCCATACCCCTTCACCCCTCACTTTTCAAATAAACTTCTGGCACCGTCTTTGGGTTGTCTTATCCAATTCTTTGTTTAAGGAAAGAAGGACCTGGATTACTTTTGATTGGTGAACCATTTCTAAAGAAACCACCCTTTAACAACCTGACTTGTCTCCATGTGATACGGGTGCACAGGCTGATATAGATGTGGGGCCAGGCCAGGAATCAATGAGCAGCTGTCTTGCTGCGGCAGGGTGGGAAGAACATTGCAGCCATTATGGGCTGGGGCAGAGAAGAGGGTAACCCACTATATTCTTATACCTTATCTTGTACCTTGAGAGACTCCACACTCTGAACCAAGAGAATGATTTGCTGCTCAGAGCTCAACTACCTCCCTTCCACCTGATACAAAGAGCTGGTCCAGGAAAAGCAGCCATCCCTGAAATATTAGTAATAATAAAAATAAGCTATACAAAAATATGGTGAAGAATCAAAGGATGTGGCCAAGAGAAGGCCAAAAACCACATATGCACCTGAAATATTTGGCCACGGGAAAAAAAATTAAAATCTTGATCAGAGATTTATGCAGGTTGTGTATGTAAAACAACTTGATAAAAGCGATGTCTGGGAACCAGGAGCTTAAACAGAAATACAATAGCTCATGAAAGAAATAAGATAAGGAAGATTTTAAAAATGAGTTGGCAGAGCTCAAGAAAGAAATAGAGAAGGCATAAAAAATAAAGGAGAAATGAAAGTCATATTAGACATAACAAAAAAGACAAAGGGATATTGCAAACAAACAGCCATGAACATGGAAGGAAGGCTTGAGAAAAGTAAGCAAAATGAATGAGAATATAACACTTTGTCATTATTTTATTTTGTTTTTGTTTTTTGAGACAGGGTCTCACTATATAGTTCAGGCTGGGCTTGAACTCGAGGTGATCCTCCTGCTTCAGCCTCCTCAGTACTGGAACTACAGGCACCACACCTGGCACCACACCGGGTCAACAAACATTTTTTTAAAGTGTGAGAATATTAAAGAGAAAGTGAGATATATAGAGAACAAAGGTGATCTACCGTATACATGATTGGTGTTTCTGAATAACAGAATAGATTAAATGGGCTGGCAACATCAACAGAAATGTTCAAATATATAATTCAAGAGTGCTTCCAGTAATAAGGCTTGAATTTATTGCTTGAAAGAACAATCCTATTCTAGGTAAAATCACCGCGGAGCAAGTAAATTCAGTACATATCCTGATGAAGATACTGGACTTCAGAGATTAAAAAAAGAATCCTAAGGGAAGCATTGCAAATAAACTAAATCACTTGCGAATAGGAAGAGAATTTGTCTGGCTTCTAACCTTTCCATAGTAGCATTCAGCATTAGAAGATGGAAGAGCAGTGCTGAGTGAGTCTTCAGGGAACGAGAATTTGTGCCAGGCCAGACTGGCATCCAAATCCAGGGGCACAAACAGATGCCTTTATTGTTCCCGAGAGCCCTTCTTGAAAACAGAACTCTCTGATGAATTTCTACCAACAGATGCAATAGAGAAAATGACGAGGAGTGATCAATGGGCCCATTAAAAGCTAAAACAACTCCAAAGGCAGAACATCGCATAAATGTTATATATGCCACGATATAAAGAAATAATGTCGCCAGCCAAATTCTGAAGATCTCAGAGGGGAAAGCATGGCCGGCATGTAAGTATGTCAATTTCTTCATCTTTTGAGAATTATTTAAAACCTGTAACTCAGTAATAGCGATAGGAGTATTTCTATCCAAAAGTATAAGCTTGCTGTAAGGCACTTGTTATATGCAGAGATTAAAGAATATGTATTTATTATTAACATTTTATTTAAAAAAATTTTAGATTGACAGAAGAGTATTTCTGTATACCCTTCAGCCAACTTTCTTTTTTACCTTACATAAGTGTGGCTTAATATGCCAAGAAGTTAGCACTGATACGATACTTTTAACTAAACTACACATTATTTAGATGTCTTCCTTTTCTTCTAAGCCCTAACCCAAGACCCCACATTGCATTTTTTTTGTTTGTTTGTTTTGTTTTTGGTTTTTCTCCGGTACCGGGAACCGAACTCACGACCTTGCGCTTGCCAGGCAGGCGCTTTTGCCGCTGAGCTAAATCCCCAGCCCCCCACGTTGCATTTAATCATCCTTTCTCCCGAGTGTCCTCCAGTCAGTGACAGTTCCTTGGTCCTTCCTTGTCATTAAGGAACATTTATTTTGTAAAAACTTTTTATTATGGCAAAACTCAAACATATACAAAAGTAGATATTATAGCACAATGAACTCCTCGGTCAGCTTCAGTAATTATCGTTTTGCCTACCTTGTTCCATCCATCCAATGGGGCAATGTTTTTGTTGGAGTATTCTAAAGCAAAATCCAGAGCATGTCATTCCATCCAGAAGTGTCTCAGTAAAAATCTCTGCTTAGTAAGGATATTGAAAATACTATAAATTCCATGCCACTATTACACTTAGCATGAACAATAACTCTCTAATATCGTCTCATCCTAGACTATATTCAGAGCTGATTTGTTCACATCAGGATCCAAGTGAGGTTCATAAACTGTATTTGGTTATTATAACTCTTAAATTTTGTTTATTCTGTAATAACCCCACCTCCTTTTTCCTCCCATACCACTGATTTATTGGGGCAGCTGGATCATTTGTCCTGTAGAATGTCTTACATTCTGGATTTGGTTGATTGCTTCTGCAAGGTGTCATTTAACTCATTCTCTATTCCCTATGTTTCCTGAAAAATAGTTAGACAGAAAGGCTAGTTAGATAGAGGCTTTTTTTTTTTTTTTTTTTTTTTTTTACAAATTTTATGGCAAAAAATATTTAACAGGCAGCGCTACACACTTTCCGTTGAATCCTATCAGGAAGTAAATACTGTGGGTTGTGTCACCTGTAGAGATGCTGAAATTGGGATCAGGTGGTATCAGCCTGATTCTCGTTATAAAATTTCCTTTCAAGTTTGTACCTAACCGTTTGAGTAGCCATTAATGATCATCGCAGAGATCCATTACTTTACTAGAGCCTGAGAAATGGCAATATTCTTAGTCTACCGTTTATTCTGCATATCTTTTGGAGATGCATATGAATTATTGACAGGTTAAATGATATAAGGCCTGGCATTTGCTGCAAAACAATAATACGAAAAGCGGGAGAGTGAAAAGGGATATAGGTAAGACGAGACTGGCTGTAAGCTGTCGAAGCTGGAAGATGGATAAGTGGCATTCTTTACACTAGTCCTTTTTTTTTTTTTTTAAGGTTTGAACATTTTCCGTGATAAAGTTTTTTCTAAAATGCTGTGGGAAGGGGTTAGATATATTCCATGTGGCCCTCCGGACCCACTCTCCACCCTTGCCTCCCCAGCTCTGTCCAATCCGGGGGTCCCATGCCCCGACTGGGTTTGGGAATCGGAATGCAAGGGAAGGAGAGAGAGGTTGGGCTTTTCATTTCCGTGTTCTCTGACTGATCAGTCACGGTGAACTGTCTGCCGTGGGCAGCCGAGCGCAGGTCTCAGCTCTCCCACACACCCCTCTTGGTTGCAGGATCCTGTCCTTGCCCCAGGGTGCTGCCCTATCCCTGGTGGTTTCTCTGTACCCTGCCCAGGCTTTTTTGTGTGGTCCTTTATTAAACAGTTCTCAGATTACCCAATGGGAGTGCGCCATCTGCCTCTTGCTGGGGCCCTTGCTGATACCGGAAGGCAATCGGCAGCGACAGGCTGGAACAGGGAGGAGGGCGGGGAAGGGCTTGAAGCGAGAGCACTGGCTGCGAGGACACAGGTGAGCACTGCGGTATTTAACAGCAGGTGGGAGACCGGTGCCCACCGGTCAGAACGCACCGTGTGTGTAAACAGCGAGTACTGATACTCGCACAGAGGTACCCTGCGAGACTCCGGGCCCTGCTCCGGGGGCCTCGGACCAGCAGGACAGGCTTGGTTGGGTTATTTGAACTCAGGTTTTCCCAGATGGCTGGGGCCTGGGGGTTTGCAGGATCGTCAGATTCTCGTTCCCAGGGGAATCTCAGCTACCAGCAGTGGCTCTAGGGGTGCAACCGGAGAGCCTCGGTGGCCTCTGGGAAAGCAGCCCTTAAGGCCTCCCCAGGGAGCGGGGGTGGGAAGGGTAAGTGGTGGATCCATTAGGGCACGGTACTTGGGCTGTACAATCCAAATGGGATGGGTGGGTGAAGGGTCTTCTTGCCAGGCGATCTGGGTTGCACACGGCAAAGGGGAGTGACCAGGTATTCCTACAGAGACCATGCGGCTTCTTAATTCCATTGGGTCAGCGCCTCTGAAAATGTTTTCATTGTAAAATCCATTCGTTTGACACTTTTCACAGCCGATAGGTTCAAGTGATTCCAAAACTGAAGGTGTAACTAGATCCACAGTGAAATGCCTCTCTCTAAAGCCCACCCACCCGCCGCAGTTCCCATCCTCCCCAGTCACTGTAACCTCAGACTTTTGAAATGTAGTTTTGCGCCCATACGAATATCCACCCGCATCAACCTCCTCTCCACACAGTAGTATATGCTCTTTCCCACGTCGTGTTTTTTTCCTTAAAATCATATGGGAAATCTTTCCAGATGGACACATACTGAGCTCTTTTGCTTTTCTATTGTTGCACAACAGCATGCTCCAAAAAAATACCTTTTGACTTGATAAAACTTGTCTTTTCGGTTTTTGAAACACTGCTCGTAGTGCTGGAGATATTTTTTTCCAGAAAAAGTATTTTGAGTCATCAGGAGACCATTATCCTGTAACTACCCGTGAGACCCTGGGTGTTTTCCAAGAAAATGAAGATATTTCAAAAATTTATCTAGACAGATAGGACTGAGATACTTTCAGCTGTAAATTCCCTTAGGCACAGATTAAAACTGCATTCATCTTTTTCTGTGGACGTCACTATACTTCAACTCCATAAGCACACAGACAGTGCACCCAATAAATTTTTAAGTCCTTTATCCCTGGGTCTAAAAAAGTCAAGGCTGGACCTTTCTTTACCGACAACTGCAAACTTCACAAAGGGTAATGAGGAAGAATTTTACCTAAATCAACCATCTGTAATTAAATATTTTACTTTGAGATAATGCTAGGTTCACAGCAAGTTGTCAGAAGAAGTGTGGAGAGATTCCCATGTACCTTCCAGGGATAACATCTTGTAACACTTTGTTCAACATCGCTAGCAGGCAAGATGTTGACACTAACCGGAGTCAAGGTACAGAGCATCCCCATCATCCCAGGATCCCGCATGTTTCCCTTTGGTGGTGACACTCACTTCCTTCCTGTCCTACCGCTCCTTGATCCTCGGAAACTACTCATCAGTTCTTCATTTCTGTTACTTTGTCCAGAAGGTTATACAAATGGAATCGTATAGTATACAGCCTTTTGAGATTAGCTTTACTCACTCAGCAGAATTCTCTGGAGCTTCATGCAGGCTGTTGCACATACCAATAGCTCACCCCTAACTGGCTTTGGTGGTGCATGCCTGTAGTCCTAGCAGCTCTGGGAGGCCGAGGTAAGAGGACAGAAGGAACATAAGTTCGAGCCCAGTCTGGGCAACTTAGTGACTTAGTGAGACCCTGCCTCAAAATAAAAAATAAAAATAAAAAAAAGGAACAGGGATGTGAAGTGTGAGGGCCCTGGGTTCAATCCCCAGTTGTGGCTCTCCAAAGGAAACCTCACTCTTTTTTGTTGCTGAGTAGTATTCCATTCTATGAATGTACTATAGTTTAACATTTTTCTGTTAAAGGACATCTGGATTGTTTCCAGTTGGGGACTGTTATGAATGAAGCTGCTATAAATATTTGTGTATGGGTTTTTATATGAATATAAGTTTTTATCTCTCTTGTATAAACGCCCAGGAGTTCAAGTGCTGGGTCACATGGCAAGTATATATTTAGTTTTTAAAGAAAGTGCCAAACTGTTTTCCAGGGTAGCTGTATCAGTTTACATCCTCACCAGCAAGGTATAAGTGACCTAGTTTCTCTGCATCCTCATCAGCAGTTAGTGTTGTCACTAGTTTTTATTTCAGCTATTCTGAGGAGTGCTTTTAATACCCTTTCTGTGTGCTGATTTGCCAACTCTACGTTCTCTCCAGCGAAAATTTTTTTCATATTTTTGTCTGTTTTCCAAATGGAATGTTGCATGTGTGTGAGTGATTTTTTAAATTTATGTTTTAATATTGAAGACTTTTCTTTGTTTTATTTTTGCAGTGCTAAAGGTCAACCCTCGGTCTCAAGAGCTCTTCCACTGAGCTACATCTCTACTTCCACCCCCTTTTAAACATTTTATTTTGAAACAAGAGCTCATTATGTTGTCAGGCTGGCCTTGAACTTGTGATCCTCCCGCCTCAGCCTCCTGAATAGCAGGGATTACAGACATGACCCATCATGTCAGGCTAGTATTGAATTTGGAGAGTTCTTTATATATTCTAGAAGTCAGTCCTTTGTCAAATGTGTAGTTTACACATTTTTGCCAGTTTGCAGCTTGCCTTTTCATCTTCTTAGCAGGAGCTTTCTCAGAGTAAAAGTTTCTCATTTTGATGAGATCTAATTTATCAATTTTCCTCTAATGGCTTGTTCTTTGGATGTTAAATCTAGGATTTCTGTGCTTACTTCTAAACTCTGATGATGTTCTCCTATATGTTTTTCCTACAAGTTTTATAGTTTCATGTATTAAATTTAAATTGATGACCTGAGTTCGCTCTGTATGAATGATGCTTCGGTTGAGGTTTATTTGCTGTCCGTGGATGTCCAATTTCTCCATTGCTGTTTGTTGAAATGACCTTGTTTCCTCCATTGAACCGCTTTTGCACCTTTGGCAAAGCTGTTTTCCCATACTTATCCGGGTCTGTTTCTGGGTACTGGCTTCTATTACATTGCTGTACATGTCCTTCCCACCTCCGATCCCACACAGTCCTGGTTATTACAGCTATATGGTAAATACTGAAATTGGCTTTGTGAAAATTGCAAAGCAATTCCGCTTTAAATTTCATTTTAGCTAGTCTGGTTCCTTCCCTTTCCACATACATTATAGAATGATCTTGTATATATTTGCAAAAACTCTTGCTGGAATTTTGATAGTAATTGCATTAAACCTGTATAATAAATTGAGAATTAATATATTATACTATATTAGATCTTCCAATCCATGAACACAGTGTGCTTCCTTAGATATATAAATCTTTTATTTCATTCATCGCTGTTTTTGTAGTTTCTATTATATATGTTTTTAACCATTTTATTGCATTTAAAAATGCATAAAATGTATCATCTTAGCCATTTTTGGGTGTACTGTTTAGTGGCATTAAACAGATTCATAAAGTCCTACAACCATCACCACCAGCAGGCTCCGTAATTCTTTTCATCTCGTAAAACTGAAACTCCGTACTCATTAAACGTAGCTCCCCACTGCCCCCTCCGCCCAGCGCCTGGCCACTGCCACTCTCTCCCTTTGAATCTGACTGCTGCTGTGCCTCACGGAAGTGGAACCAAGTGTTTGTCTTTTTATGACCGGCTGATTTCATTTAGTGTATGTCCTCAAGGTCCATCCACGCTGTACCATAGGTCAGAATTCCCTTCCTTTTCGGGCTGAATAATATTTCACAGTATGTATATACCATATTTTGCTAATCCACTCATCTCTTGATGGACACTAGAGTTGCTTCCACGTTTGGACAATTATGAGGAATGTTGCTCTGTGTGCTGTGAACGTGGGTGTACAAATAGCTCCTTAAGACCATGTTTTCAATTCTTTTGAGCATATACCCAGAAGTGGAATTGCTGAATTACATGCAATTCTGTTTTTAATTTTTTGAGAAACTGCTATACTCTTCTCTTTCCTTTCCTTTCCTTTTTTCTTTCCTTTTCTTTTTCTTTTGGTTTGTTGAGACAGGGTCCATGAAGAGTTTTAGAGCTTCACTTTTGTTACATGCCCATCGTGGAGGGAGCAGAGCACTGTGCCCTGGGAGGCCAAGCAGGAGACACTCAAGGGACCCGAGAAGGAATGGGGAAGCCTATTAGACAGATGAAGTTCCAGGGACCACAATCCCCAGAGGGAATAAAACGAATTCTTTGTATTTTGTGATTTTTATGGAAATGTTCTAATAATCAAAACTTCCCTCTGTCACTTCTCTGAATCCACATTTATATGATTCATTTGAACAGTTCAGAATCGCATTTGATAAAACCTGGGACAGACTGGAATGGAAGAGACCATTTATGCTCTTATTATAGAGATGAGAAAAAGGAGGCTGGTAAGAAGCCATCTTGACCAATTTCATACGCATAGTTTCTTTATGTTTCCCCCCGTTTGCATTTATTACAAGAATAATTTCAAGTCATTAGCTATTGTGTGAAAAAAATCTCAACATCCCAACGCAACAGTATTGTGTTGTTGTTTTTTTGTTTTTTTGTTTTCTTCCGGTACCAGAAATCGAACTCACAACCTTGCGCTTGCCGGGCAGGCACTTTTGCTGCTGAGCCAAATCCCCAGCCCCAAGTATTGTGTATCATCTGGCTTTTGTCAAATGTTACATAGTTGGGCATAGTTGTGATGATACATTGGCTTTCAAATATGATACGAGGCAGTGTGGTGGTGCATGCCTGTAATTCCAGTACTCTGGGAGGCTGAGGCAGGAGGATCAAAAGTTGAAGTTCAGCTTAGGCAACTAAGCAAGACCCTGCCTCAAAATAAAAAATAAAAACAGCTGAGGATGTAGCTCAGTGTGAAGACCCTGGTTTCCGTCACTAGTACTGGAGGGGGAAAAGGCTAAGGACGTGGCTCAGTGGTGCAGTGCTTTCCTAGTGAGTAAGAGGCCCGAGGTTCCATCCCTAGTACTAGAAAGAAAAAAAAAATGATAAAAAGGCTTATATGCCTAATCTAGCGACTAGCATATGCCTGTAATTTAGAATTTGCAAGTAAGCGGCCTGTACCCGCCACCTGGTGAGAGGGGGACACCCTCTTGCATGAGGTTAGAGGCTCTTGCTTTTCTCCTCTTTCTTTTTAGCTGAATCAGCACCTCTTCCTGGCCCAGAACTTCAGCCTTAAGGAAAGTTGCGGGATGGGTAGAGGCCTTTAAGGGCTCATTCTTTTCTCTTTTAGATCCACGTTCTTCCCTCAACACTATTCCAATGCCAAATCTCAGTCTCTGCCTCTTCCCGAGGCCCTTTCTTGGCGTCTAACTCCTGCTTGAGGACTCACTGGTGGTTTTAATCTTAACAGGGACCGCACCATCTAAGGAGATCCCTTTAAGACAGAGAAGTGTTCCTGAACAGAGGAAAGAGAGGAAACCTGCCCTTCAAGGGCCCCCTACATAAAGATCAGCCCTGCCACAGTGCTGCAAAGCCAACCAGCCACAGTCCCCATCCCCACAGAGCTCAAGTTCCCGGCTTGGTCCCAGGTACCTGTAGTAACTTCCGGCTGTCTGCAGGCCGCCCCACCTCTGCCTAGAACAATGCCGGGGACTTGGACTGTCCATCAATAGGCCCTGTCAGACAGCCATCTGTATCATTCCAGGTCCTGGCAGGAAGCAGATGGCACCTCAGATTGGGTAAATTGAGAAGAGTTTAATAAAGAGACTATTTACAAAGGCATATCGGGGTGTAGGGAAACCACAGGCCAGAAGGAGCAGAAGGAGGAAGCAATTACTGGAAATTTGAGAGAGAAAATTCTACGAGCAGGGCCTCTTGACAGGAGCTGTGACTTTCGGTGTGGAGATGCAGCCAGCTAGCCCTGAAGGAGGCCCTTGGAGAAAAGAAATACCCTGAGCTCCCTCCCCACAGCCTTCCCTCGCCTGCTGGAAACCGACACCAAGAAGAGGTAGAAGATTTTGGCGGAGCTCACTGAGGCCGGCTGCTGGGGGCACAGCCCGGCTAGGGAAGGGTGGAGGGAGTCTGGAGGGGCAAAAAGGAGCCACAGGGCACACCGTCTGAGTTTGGAAGTAATCTGTGGTGGTCCTTGCCCAGGGTTGCCACTATCGACACTCCTATGGGTGGGGGTGAAAGGGGGGCATGTTATCTCCTGGCTGGTGAAGCCGAAATATGATCGAGTAGTTCCTCTAGAAATGCCTCGCCAATCAAAAGTATTCCAGATCTTTCTTGCCTTGAACAAAAAATTCGACGAGACAAGCCAAAGACGGTGCCAAAAGTTTATTTGAAAAGTGAGGAGTGAAGAGGTATGGGAGAAACCAGCTCCGTAGTGCAAACTTCGGCTGAACAAAAAGAAAGAGAGGGCAAAAGCAAAAATAAAAGTGCACTCTGCGGCTAGGAGAAGCGGGGTGGGCTGCAGGGAGGTGAGCAGGCTCCTCAAGGCGGCCGGTCCCTTTCCTGCCATCCACACCTGGTGGGAGCCCACGAGAAGTTCCACATACGGGGCCCCGGGAGTTACTTGATGCTGTCCTGGGATCTTGTAATTGACAGGTCTGGCTTATTTTTTCAGCCAGCTTTGCCATGCATTTCTAGCAGGATGTGGGATAGCCCTCCTTTTCCTCTTCTGTCCGTATTTGAGCTCTCGAGTTTTCTCTCTGTTCCCCCCATAGGGTCCATAAAGCGCAGTGCTGTCCGTGAAAGAGGAGGGTTGCTCTGGGCCCCAGCCTTCAAGCAGAGGCCTAGATTCCTACACGCACCCTGCCAGCCCTGTTTGTCTCCCCCTGCCATGTCCTGAACGGCAAGTGGGTCACCAAACATCCCTGCCAGGGCCGCTCCACAGAGCCACACACCCTGACCTTGTTCCTTCAGGTCCCCCATGGCTGCCCAGGGTCAGAATGGAAGGACTTCACCTCAGCTATGGGCCAACCTGGGGTCCCATTTGTGCCCACTCCGCCCCAAGCTCCAGCTGGCCTCAGCTCCCTCTCCTGCTGGCGAGCTCGGTTCCTCTTTATTCCTGGCCTGCCCTGTGGGATTTACTGCAGCAGAATGCTTCTCCTTCTCACATAAAATTTAACCCCCTTACTATGTAACAAACCAGGATGGTAATTTATGATCAGAAATCTAAGAGCACTGGCTTCTTGGAGTTGCTTCACTGGAACTTTCTCTCCATGTAAGACACAGGGAGTTTAGAAGAGGATGGAGGAAAGCTGGGGTGAATGAGAGCCTTTCTTTTTACTCTACACTCATTTTTACTGATATGCTTAGTTTTTACGCCAATTTATGAATGTAAAATTATTTAATACTACTAAAAAAAGAATCGGAGCTAATTGTAACCAGTGACTTTGAGTGGCATGGATGACAGCAGCACAGTGCAAATTGCAAATACATATTCCCGAAAATGACAATGACAGATAGGGCAAAGCCACTGGGGATAGATTCTATACTTCTGCCAAGGCAGCCCCGCCTTGAATGGAAGTGGGACCACATACACTTCCCCGGTTATATTAGGAGCTGGGTGGAAAGCGCGGTAACTTTTGCGGTGGCTGGATTCCCTACCTGGCCTCTGTGTCATCACCATACCTGCTGGGAGATCCCTCTGTCACACTGGAGCTTCCCTGGGCTCCATTTCATAATCACTCTAATGGACTGACATCAGCAAACTGTGATTTATTCTTTCGGTTCGTTTAAATATTTGTTAAGAATGAGGCCACATCTATGTCAGACTCTGAAGTCTGTATCTGCCACTCTTCTACCTTCCTTTACTCCTCACCTACTGGCAGGGCCGGGGAGGAGGGAGAAGCCTGAGCAAGTGCAGGCCTATGCCGATGGCTTCAGAAGAAACACTTCTTTCTCTCCTCTCCAGTCATATGCTGAAGCTCTGGCTACTGGCCCCCAAGGTGAGCATAAATAAGAGGCTCTCAATAAGAGCTGGGAGAAGCTTGAACCCAACTGGCTTCATGAGCTGAGGGAGATATTAAGGTACAAAAGGGATTTAACTGTTAACTAGGGATCCCTATAGATTTGTGTGAAGAACAACTCCATGATAATTGCCAGTAAAGCTTTTCAAAACAAGACCAGTAACACTCCACTAGTATCTTGCCCTAATGGATATTAAAATTCATGATAACGCTAGTGTAGTCAAAAGGATAGAGTATTGGCACATGAACAGACAGACCAGTGGAATAGAATAGAAAGAAATTGATTTTATGGGAATTTAATATAGTATGTAATAAAGGTGGCATTTCAATTCACTGATGGCTTATTTGATAAATCACCAAACAATAATGGCCTATTACATGAAAAATACAAAGATAGATTATTTGGTTAATTACAGATGGATTAAAGATGCAAAGGCAAAGTAAACATTCTGGAATTTAGGAAAATATTTACATGATATTCAGGGAGGAAAGCCTTCTCAAATCACACAAGCTAGAAGGTACAAAGACATGATAAAAAGTCAAAGGAGAATGAATAGGTTGTGAGAAAATAGTTGCAACCAAGGGAGATAAAGGATTAGTATCCATAATACTAGAATGAATATGAGTATCTATAGTATCAGGTTGCCGATAATCAACCGCTTTGAACCGCCAAACGGCAAAGTTGACATTTCAACCCAATACACAGTGCTTCAAAATGTTGGTTTTAAAAGAGACGAATAGGGCTGGGGATATAGTTCAGTGGCACAAACGCCTGCTTGGCAAGTGCAAGGTCCTGAGTTCGATTCCCGGTACCAAAAAAATAAATAAATAAATAGATAGATAAGACAAACAATCTAATAGAAAAAAGTGAAGTCTATAAATTATAAACAGACAATTTATAGAAAAGATGTCAGTAGCTAATCTATAAATATATGATTACAAATATCTGAATATATGTTAAAATAATAGCAGGAGGCTTCTATCAATAAAACAGAAAATAACGAGGGCTAGAAAGATGTACAGAAACTGTGCAATGTTAGTGGGAATGTAAAATGGTGCCCCTGCCACAGAAAATAGTATAGAGGGTCTTCAAAAAATTAAAAGTAGAATGAGGTATGGTCTAGCAGTTCCACTTCTGGATATGTACACAAAATAATTCAAATCAGGGTCTCCAGAGATATTCATACACCCCTGTTCATGGCAGCCTTATCCACGACAGCCAAAAGGTGGGAACCACTCAAGTGTCCATTGACAGAACAAAATGTGATAGTTTCACACAATGGAATATTATTCAGCCTCACAAGGAAGTCAGTTTGGACATATTCTAAAACATAGACTAGGGCCGGGGATATAGCTCAGTGGCACAAGCGCCTGCCTGGCAAGCACAAGGTCCTGAGTTTGATTCCTGGTACCAAATAAATAAATAAATAAATAAAACATAGACTAATATTGATGACGTTGTGCTAAGCGAAACCAGCCAAACACAAGAGGAAATACTGTATGAGTCCACTTCTCTGAGATACCTAGAGTAGTCAGATCCATGGAGACAGGAAGCAGAATGGCAGTTGCCAGGGGCACGGGGAGGGTGGGATGGACAATTAATGTGTAATGGGTGCAGAGTTTCAGTTTTGCAAGGTGAAAAGAATTCTGGAAACTGGCTACCCAGCAACATGAATATTGTTGACGCTGCTGAATTGTATGCTTAATGGTTAAGATGGCAAAGTATGTTTTGTATATTTGACAAGATAACATTTTTCACTCATCAGGCAAAATGTAAAACTAATTTTGACACCGATGTGGGGAAATGTATACTTGCTTTCATGAATGGTTGGAGAGAGAATTGTGATAGTGTTTTAAGCAAATAACTTGGTGAAATCTATTAAAATAAAAAATGCATATACTTTTTGAAACAGTAGTCCTATATTTGGAACTCTAGTCTACAGAAACACATATACCGATATACAAGTATATGTATATAGTGCATTTTTATATTGGTCATAGTTAGAAATAATTGATCCTAAAAGTGCAGATGGTGGAATATTGAACAACTATTTTAAAGAACAAGTAATATTTACAAGGATTGACCTGAAGAAATGAGTATGAGATATTATTTTATTAACTACATGACATATTATTGTAAGAAAGTAAGCAAGTTTCACGGGAAATCATGTGGTATGTGTAAAAAGCAAATAAAAATCCCTATACTGGTTTTTTTGTTGTTGTTGTTTTTTTTCTGGTACCGGGAATCGAACTGAGGACCTTGAGCTTGCCAGGCAGGTGCTGTGCCGCAGAGCTAAATCCCCAGCCCCCCTATACTGTGTTTATATGCTGTTATAGCTAATTTTATCTATCACCTTGACCAGGCTATGGTGCCAGGTGTTTTGCTCCAACATCAGTCTAGATGTTGCTGTGAAGATTTTTATTTTGGACGTGACTAACATATAAATCAGTAGCCTCTGAACGAAGCACCACTGACCTCCATGGTATGTGGAGAGGCCTTATCCAATCACCCCAAGGTCTTACAGGCAATGACTGAGGTTCCCTGAACCTCAACACTGCAACATAGAAACCAAGACCGAGTTTCCTCATTACCTGGCCACCCTGGGGAATTTTGACTCAAGACCGTAATATCAACTCTTACTTAAATTCAGAGTTCAGCCGCGCCAGCTCACACAAGCTCTCGAGCCAACTCCTTAAAATAAACCATCTCTGGTGAGAAACTTAATGCTTTCTCATTACAGTCAGGAACAAGACAAGGATATCCTACTCTTGCTGCTGCTTGTCAACAGCATAGTGAAGCCCTAACTAAGGCAATAAGACAAGAAAAGGGATCCAGATTGGGAAGAAAGAAATAAAACTGTCTCTGTTTAATGGCCAGCTATGTAGACAGTTTGAAAGAATCCACACAAAAACTCCATGAACTAATGAGTGATCATAGCAAGGGTGCAGGACAGATCAACTATAAATGTACCACTCTGAAAAATACCACCGGGGGGTGGGGGAGCGCGAGTATATGAGGACGTCTGCACTTTCTCCTCGATATTATTGTGAACCTAAACCTGCTTTAAAAGTAAAGTCTTTTAAAATAGAGTTCTCCGTTTGTCTGTCTCTCTTCTACATGTGTGTGCACACGCACACGCACACATATCTCCTATTTGTTTTGTTTCTGTAAACAACTTTGACTAAGATGTTATGTGTATGCATGTTTTAAATAAATATAAAGAATACCAGCTGGATGTGGTGGTGCACACCTATAATCACCACTCAGGAGGCAGAGGATCATGAGTTTGAGGCCAACCTGGGCAACTTAGCAAGATCCTGTCTCAAAAACAAAACAAAAACAAGAAAAACATAAATTAGATGACTAATAAACCAAATTTAACCTTGGTGATCTCAGGGGTGGGATTAGAGTAGGGAAATAAAGATTCTTCTAAATGTCTTCCTCTCTGCTTAACTGGCTGCCAGGTACATGAAGTAACTTTGCAACTAAATCAAAGCAAAAGAGAGAAAGCAACCCCTATGGGCCATGTGGCTGTATTGCTACATCATGGAAGACACTGAGTTGAGTCCTGGGACCTAAATGCTCATCTATGGTGTAAATCAGCTTTCCCTTGCTGTAATAAACACCTGAGATAAACAACTTCAAAGGACAAGAGCTTTATTTTGGAACACAGCTTCAGCGGTGTCAGTCCATGGGCACTTGGCCCTGTAGCTTTGGGCCCGTGATGAGGCAGCACAACATGATGGGGAGCCCATGGTAGACGACAGCTGCTCGCCTCATGGCAGCTGAGAAGTAGAGAGAGAGAGAGAGTGAGAAAGAGGCCAGGCTCCCACTTTCCCCTCCTAAAGCAACCCCCAGGCTGGGGATTTAGCTCAGTGGCACAGCGCCTGCCTGGCAAGCGCAAGGTCGTGAGTTCGATTCCCGGTACCAGAAAAAATAAATAAATAAATAAAAAATAAGTAAATTAAAAAAATAAAGCAATCCCCAATGACCTAACTTCCCCCTAGACCCCACTTCTTAAAGGGTCCTCTACTTCCCCATAGCACCACACACTGGGGGCCAAGCCTACAAGTAGCACATGAGCCTTTGGGAGACACTTAAGACCCAACCCATAACATCTGCTAACAGACATATATGTCTTTTTTTTTTTTTTCCTTTTTTTTTGGTTTTTCTCCGGTACCGGGAACCGAACTCAGGACCTTGCACTTGCCAGGCAGGCGCTTTTGCCGCTGAGCTAAATCCCCAGCCCCTAACAGACGTATATTTCTTACTGTGTGTTAAGGACTGAACAAGACCAGGTTAACAAACTATAATCCCCGTTCTTGAAGAGATCGGGAACTCACAAGAACTAGTACAACCCAAGTATCTGCACTTGTGGACTGTTTCACTGTGTGTCAAATGAATGAAGTAACTTGGGCTCTAACTGCCTTCTGAAATGCTCATCCGGCATCTTGGTTGGTCCTGAGAAGCAATGGTGAACTGAGCCAATGTAAATACGGTTAGGACAACACAGTGCAAATCATGTTTTGAGGAAAGGTGAGTTTCTCCTAGTTAATCAAGCACAGTTTTATAACACCCCAATGACAGGACTGAGATTGGGGCTCAAATGAGTTTTCTCCTTCAGGAGCTCTTTGAAGTTCACTTCCTAATGTGGACACCGGAGAGGGAAATTCGAAAACTGTACAAGTGTGGAGTTCAGCACTATGATGGCCAGCGGGGCTGATTTGTTGGTGCATTTTATACCTGGATCAGTAAGATCAGGCCCAACAGGATGTGATTACTTCCTGCTGCATGGTTAGACTTCAGTATTATCTGCGGGCCTCTTAAAAATAAAATCGCCAAGCCGGGCGTGGTGGCACATGCCTGTAATCACAGCCCTCGGGAGGCTGAGGCAGGAGGATCGCTGTGAGTTTGAGACCAGCCTGGGCTACAAAGTGAGCTCAAGGCCAGCCTGAACTGCAGAGTGAGACCCTGTCTCAAAAAAAAAAAAAAAAAAAAAAAAAAAAAAAAAATCCCCAGGCTCCTTCCCGGGAGTTTCAGATTCAGTAGCTCAGGGGTGAGGCTGAACATTTCTGAATCTGAAAAGTTTGCCAGGTGATTTTGACACACGAGTTTGGTTAAAAAACCAGAGGGGGGCTCAGGGGTCAGCTTGGGCTTTGAGTTTTTGTCATGTCCCCCTGATTATGATCGGCAGCTTTTATCATATGCTGCAGGAAGTGAATGGCGACCCTGGAAGGCAGGGAAGGGTGGTATCATTTGGAAAATCCCTGAAGGGCCCAGGAGGAGAACGCCTATGAGAGCCACTGCTCTGGGGCATGAGGACTTGTTGGGGTTGAGTCCTGAGGTTGGGCAGAGAGACACCACCTGGACATAGACACCCCTCTGGATCCCGCTGTACCCAGTTTTTATGGGCACCCATAGGACACAAATAATCCTTGGGGTTGTTGGGAGGTTTGAGCAGCTGTATTTCTACATTTGGTGGGAACCGGGCTCAAGTTAAGACCCTGAAGTTGGGACTGCAATCCTGTGAAATAGGCATTACTATTGTTAACTTCGAAATTGGGAAAGAGCGTATAAAGTGACGGGTGTGCCATTGTCACACCGCTAGTCACTCATGAAACCAGGTCACCAACTCATCAAGATCTTTCTACTCCTGTGCCTTTTGCCTCTCTCCACCCTATACCCAAAGAGCCAGATTTCCTGTGGACTTGCTGCTGTACAAACTGTGAAAGTTTCCAGTGTGTTTATTAGTCCCTTCTCTCTCCCTCCCTCCCTCCTTGCCTTCCTTCCTCCCTCCTCCCTCCAGTGGGCATGGTAAGTCACCTCTCACATTGACCTTGGGCCCCAGCTACAGCCTCTCAAATGCGTCACCACACTGGGGCTGAGGCCACGGAGCACTCCCCACCAATGAGTGAGCACAGTAGGGAAACTGAGGCGGGCCCACACTCAAGAGACACAGAAACCCCTGTGACCGACATCTTTGGCTCAAGGACCACCCACTGGCCTTGCCAAACCTTCTTTAGAGCGCACTGCAGTCTAAGATGCTACTGCTCGAACATCCTTCCTTTTCTCTCTGCTTTGCAAGGCCGACCTGCACGGAGGTCATCACCCTCCAGTCCTTGCCATCTTACGCCCACATTTCCTCTCACTGGTGTTTTCTTTAATAAGATTGCAGTTCTTTCTTTCTTTCTTTCTTGTGTTGGGGACTGAACCCAAGGGCTTTGCACTTGGCTACATCTCCAGACCTTTTCTAAATTTTAAATTTTGAGATAGGGTCTTGCTAAATTGCTAGTTTCCCAGGCTGGGCTTGAATTGGAAATCTTCCTGCCTCAGCCTCCCAGAGTGCCGGGGTTACAAGAGTGCATTACCATGCCAAGCTAATGCCTTGTGCGTTTACTCTCCTTTCTCCGAAGACCAAACTAACACCATCCCCCTCTTTCTTCCTCCCTCTCTCTCTTGTCTCATTCTTTCTGTATTTTGTGCCAACTGTACTGGAGGTGTATAGATTAATATTATATGGTCTATGTTCTCAGGGTTTTTACAGCCTATTAAAAGCGGCAGGCTAAAGGAGACATTAAAGCACTGTGAGCCAAGCACAGCGCTGGGGACGTATAAGAAGGCATCCGCAGGGCCGGAGGAGCCGCAGCTAACCCAACTGACACTAAAATGAAGGAAGCCATTGACCAAGAGAGAATAAGAACCAGCATGGTGCAGCAAGCTGGCCACAGGGAAGGGTGAGAGGACTTCCAGGTGTTGTGTTGCCGGGGCTGACGTTTTCAGGCAGAGGGTCAGGAGAGGAGGCTGAAGAGGTGAGCAGGGGCTGGACACTAGCGAACTGGGAACGCAGTCCTGAGGGTTGGACCTTTATCCCGGGCCAATGTTTCCCAAATGCTGGTCTAGGCTGGGCTACGGGAGAATTACCTGGTGCCCGATAAGAATACCCCCCACCTGGAGTCCCCTGTCAGAGGGGAGCCATTTGGGGATTAAATGTGTGTTTTTCTCCTCTCCTTTTGCATTGAAATTTGTCCCTTCGCGCTCTAGGAAGGGCTAGAAAGTCCCTTAAAGGGTCTGTTTCTTTTGGGTTTTGAAGATTCCCTCACTAGTCTCCCTTCCCTTCATAGTACAGTGGTACTGGGCCCCACTTCTCTGGGAAAATTTTTGTTGTTCTTTGTGTTTTGATGGATTGAGAGGTC